TACTGAAAATGAAAAGTAAGATCAACTAAAAAAAGAATAAATAAATAATTCAAGACAAAGTGAAGTATTCGCCACAATAACAGTTTTTTTAATACTATCCTTTGGTATTGGGTTTTTCTTTGATTGATCAATTATTTTCAATTTGTTCAAAAATTCGACTATTTTTGAGATCTCCAAAACCACACCAACAATTTCTATAAATCAAGTAGATTTGAATTGTATTTTTTGGGTTGATTGAAAATAATATAATGGGTTATTATTTGAAGTTAATTGGTTTCTTCTTTTTATTTATTTTACTTTTCATTTTCAGTAATGTTCCCAATTAAAAACCGTGTTTCACTTTTTTTCCACAACATTTTACTTTTTTTCCACAACAGTAATATTAAAATTATGTTACCATCTATAATGAATTTCCTTTTAAAAGATATGAAAACATTAACTAAAAAGATATAAAAGAAAATACCCATAAAACCCAAAGTTTCTTTTCTCAAATAGAATTTTAAAAAAACATAATAATTATTATAATTATTTTTTGACATCTCGAGAATATTAGGATTTGAATAGCATTTATTGTGAAAATTATTTTCAATAATTACTAAATATAATATTAATAAAATCATAAAATATAAATCGAATGGAGTTTAGGATTAAATCTTTAAATAAATATCTTATCCAAAAAATTCAAATAAATTTCTCAAAAATAAAATTTATTATTAGTGTTTTCAGTATTTTGACCACAATCAAAATTTCAGATAAAATCACGACAAGAATAGCACAATACATACAAATACTTTCAAGACTTTTTCCAACTTTCAGACTGACAGTCTGCAAGATTTCAGTCTCTGATATTCTTTCATTTTTTATTAAAATTTCAAATACTTGATACAAACTTTTGTAAGCCAAAAAAAGGGTTAAAAATAATAATTAACAAAAGATAACATTTTGAATTTAATTGAAATTTCTGAAAGTTATCTAAAAGAAAAATATTTGTAAATTTTCAATAACCTGAAACTCTTTTTATGAAAACCAAAAATTGGAAAGTTGTTTAAATTACATGTTTTTAAAAGTTTCACTTGTAAAAACATTTAAATTGAAAGTTGTTGATTTGTGATCCTCTAATTCCTTTCAAAATTTGGATCAATTTCAAAAAAACAAAGTGTTGCTAAGGAAAAAAAGTGACTACAATTTTTGTGCTATTCTTGTCGTGATGATTTTTAAACTTTTTCATTTTTTTTAGAATTTTTCAAGAATCTTGAACTTCAAAAGTACATGATATAAATGTTTATAAACTAATTCATATCATTCAATTTCAGTGACTTTTATGGGGTTTCAGCACCTTAAAACTTCATTAGTTTTCTTTATTTTCGAAAAATCTTGATTGTTTAGTTAAAATAATGATCATCATTCGATTGATCAGATAACCTTGAAGACTGGTTTACAAATAGATTTTTTCAACACATTAAAAATGTGGTGGTCCCAATTTGATTGACAATTAATACCCAGATAATTTTATTTTTCACTTCAAAGTAATGTGTACCAAACACTTCCTGAGATAAAAAGTTCGAAATGTAAATTGTGTATTTTAAAAAGGATAAAAACAAATCAAAACTGTTTCAAAAAAAATTCTGACAAACACCTAAACTTGGGGTTTGGAGTCAAACGTAATCAAACCAAAAGTATAATCTTTGCTTTTTAGATAGAAAATAAGATAGAATTTATTCTCAATTCTATATATAATCCAAGAGCCAACCACCATTCAACAAGCCAAAGAAAAGATCTGTTAAAACAAGAAGTTCAGTAAAAATTGTTCCCAATTCATTGTAATTTTGAGTTAATGAATTAAATTTTTGTGAACACAATTTCCTCAATAATTTTTCCTAATTATTTCGATAAAAAAAACAACGATCTTTTGAAAAGATTTGTTGAATAAACATTTTTAGAATTCAAATTTAGTTTGTCTTTCTTGGTGTACGAGAGAAAATTTTCGTTTTGACTCTTATTTAAAGATACACTTTGACTAAAAAATTCGGGGTTTTGAGAATTCATTTTTAATAAAGTAATTTCGTTTTTATTAATGAAAACTTCTGATGTTCAACTAAAACTAGTGCTATTGGGAGACTCTGCTGTCGGGAAGTCTTCGATCGTTCTTCGATTTTGCAAAAATCAATATTCTGATCAAGCAGAACCTACTATTGGTGCAAGTTTTATCAACCACGATTTAGAGTTGGAAGAGTCTGAAGTCAAACTTCAAATATGGGTTTGTTTTTAAGTTTACTTTACTTTTGCTTCTCCACAATAAAATGTTTCTTCGAAAAATTTTAAAAAAAAAAAATTTCAGACAAACAAAAATTTTATTCTTCTTTTCCAAACTGCTTCTTTCCTTCCAAAAATAACAAAAAAAAAAACACTTTTTTTTTCAAAAAAGGACACCGCAGGACAAGAAAGATTCCATTCTTTAGCACCAATGTAAATATTTCTTTTTAATTGTTTTTATTTTTATTTTGGGGTTTTCACATTTGCAATTCCCAATATTTTACCAACAAAAATTAATTCGATCAATATTTTTTCAAGACAAAAACAACAGGAAGAACAGATTTCACTTAATTTTCAATGAAAATTTTGTTTCTTTGAATTTTATTCCTCTCTTATTTCTTATTTTCTTCTTTTTTTCTTCATTTTTCTTAATCTTTCTTCAATCTTCTTCTTTTTTTTATTTTTTGTTTTTTTTTTGTATGCCTTATCTATTTGAAATCATAACAGGTACTACAGAGGTGCGAAAGGAGCTGTAATTGTTTATGACATCACAAACATTGAAAGTTTTGAAAGAGCAAAAGACTGGGTCAAAGAAATCCAAGAGAAGGGATCACAAAATGCAAAAATAGCCCTTGTGGGAAACAAAATCGATCTTGACGAATATCGGGTTGAAACAGAAATCGCAGAAAAATATGCAACTGAAAATGGGCTTTTATTTTTTGAAGCCTCAGCAAAAACAGGGATCGGTATTTCAGAAATCTTTGTGGGTCTTTCCAAAGTTTTACCAAAAACATCTCTTGAAGACGATCTGAATTCAAGCGAATTGTCTTCTGATGAGGTTGTAAATCTTGAAGATCCTGAATTACAAAAAACAAAATCTGGGGGTTGTTGTTAAAAAATTTAATTTTTTGACTTTTTTTTTTTGAGTAATAATAATAGAAATAGCACATTGCCAATTTTAAACATAACAACATTTTCACAAATCTGGTTGAAATTGTCAACATTTCTAAAACCAGCACTGTTATAATATTTTTCTTTTATTTTGTTGTCCAAGTGTATATTTCATTGAAAATCGATCAACGATCAAACAAAGATCAAGCAGAAAAAAAAATCAGAAGAAAAAATTAACAAATGCACCCTAAAAAAGAAATTAAATTGTTTTTATGATTCTTGACAATGAGTTTGCCTGCCTATTTAACCTTCTAATTTCATATAACCTAAATTTGATACCTTGAATTAAAGTATTTATTATTTGAAGTTTAAGATTATTATAGAATTGCATAAACCTTTAACTCCCTATTATTTTTAACGTCTTGCTGGGATTCTTTTTAAATAATCCATTCAAATGATTTCCGATGGGATTTAAATCTTGTGATTTCGTATGTTAGTCAAGAACTGGGGAATCTGTTTCTCACAAAAAGTTATGTGAATATTTTGATGTGAGCAATTGAGGTATTTTATTATTAGAGAAAAAAATATTTATTTTTTTTTCTTTGATTTTATATCTATTGTTAATCAGGAGAGCCGATTTAACACAATTACCTCATAAGATCTTTCCAAGGGTACCATGAGATTTTTTATCAAACAAGTTTCATATTTTTATTTATTTTTTTCAACCAGAACAAGAAAGTTGATATTCTGTAGAAAAAAATCAATAAATGAGCTATTTATTTTTTGTAAGGGTCGAGTCATTATGGTTAAAAATAATTTTCTGAAATGGATTAAAAAAAATGTGTAATTTTAATGAGCGCCTAATAACAATCAAAAACTAAATAACATGAGATATGAAATTGATCTATCACCTAAAATCAACAATCAAAAAAGAGGGCATTTTCAGAAAAAGTGCCCAAGAGAGAAACTCAATTTCTTATTAGAATGGCTGTGATTTATAATTTTGAAAACAATTGTGTTAGTTTTGAAGTGTCTCTCTTTGGCACGTTTTTAGATCTCGAAGATTTTTTTCATTTTTTTCATTTTTTTCCTTTTTCGAATAGGTTATTTTTTTTTTCTAAAGAATGAGACATAATCCTTACTTTGTCAAATCTAGAGAGTTACAATATAACCACATATTAGATTTAATCGAATTAAATTGATTTGGAACTTTTATAAAAACAATTTGTTTTAAATTGAAGAAATTTAACCCTTTGTAAATTTAAAAATTAGAAACGATGAATTTTTTTTTACAAATTTGATTTTTTTGGAATTGAATTTTTTGCCAATAGAAATCCTAAAGAAATTTTTTTTTATTGGTTATTAGAATTAATTTTTTTGCCAATGATATCCAAAGAAATTTTCTATTTATTATTTTAATTTTGTCAATCAAAAGAAGGACAATTTGATAATACCCTTTTTTGACTTCAAACCTCTCCTTGAGTACTGAGCAAATCGAGTCTACGTGATTAATCCCTTAAACATAAAAGTTTTCTTTGTGAATATTTGAGTAAATACTTTTTGATAACTACATATAAGATGGAGATTCGTTCACTTAAATGTTAAAGATAGTATGGAAGTTGCTGTGAACAGATTTTGAATATTCTTTGTATTATAAAAGAAGTTTGAAAATTTTTTGATCTTCGTATTTATAATTCTAACAAAGCAAATTAAACAACCTTTCACTCATATGTCCCCGGGAAAAAATGAAATTTTCAATTAATTTTTATCAAGAATCAAACAATGATTGATTATCGAAAAAGAGGAAGAAATAACTGAAAAACTACCAATTTGAAAAAAAAATTGTAAAAAAAAAACGATCCAAGCAGGATTCGAACCTGCGACCTATTGATTAGGAGTCAATCGCGCTGCCACTGCGCCACAGGACCACACATTTAAATGAATCAAAAACATTAAATCAAATAAAAACTAGACAATACAATAACTCTTATAGATTACTTTTTTTATCAACTTCGCATATTTTAAGGTTAACAATCCCTAAAATAGGAAAAAAAGATTATATTTGAGGAGGATGTATTGACTACTTGTTAATTTGGTTTTTAGATGATCGATATTGAACTTAGTATGAGTTTTATAAGTGGTTAAAAATGACAATTTTTAACAATTTATTTTTTTTTTTTCCTAAAATCAGAAATGAAGAGTTTAAGATTAATAGATTAATAGTTATTTGAGAATAAATTTAAATTTATGGCTGTAGAAGAAAATTTGGATTTACTATTTAGTCAATTAACTTAATGAAAAAAAATTGTTTTCTTAAAAGCACCGTCTAAAACTAAATCAATGAAAAATTTCAATCAAGAATCCACAAACCACATTTTATTATAACTTAAGTTCCATCCAATTAATCTTACACTCTTCATTTCTGATTTCAAAAAAAAAATAAAAAATAAAATTGTCAAAAACTGCCATTTTTAACCACTTATAAAACTAATACGTAATCCAAGATCGATCAGCTAAGAACTAAATTAACAAGACACTACATACAACACAAGATAATCTTTTTTCAAATTTCAGGGATTGTAACCCAAAAGGATTATATCTAAAATTTAACAATTTTTTAAGCGATTAGTCTCTATTATTTTATTTTTGACCAATTTCTATATAAGGAATTCTTATATAGAAATATGTTTAAGATCGACAATAAACAGGGATTTTCAAATCTACGTAAATGGCAATTTTTTTTCTCAATCTCTATTAAATTTAGGTAAAAAAATTTAATATAGATTAGTCCCTTAACATAATTCTAATCAACATTACATTAAAAAGACAAACTTATTGACATATTGTACCCCTAATTAATCACAAAAAAATTTATTATGGTTTTCAAACGAAAAATCAATAAAATTGTTTTGATACATAAACTCAAAAAATATTATAAAACAAGAATAAAAAACAATGAGAAAAATAATCACGATTCATTGGCCAAAAAAAACATGCCAATTACAAACATACCCAATAAACAAAATTAAATTTAAATGATCGTATTGTCTATGATTTTGAACTATTTTACTTTGTTGAAATTTTACAACTCCCAAAAACCATATTAATAATTACAAAGGAATTGTGATTGTATCTTTTTTTTTTTTCGTTCTTTTTGTTTTTACTCGAATTAAATCTCCATTCAATAATTACGAGGAGAATATTTACTTTGAATTATTATTGTAACACCATGATCCATCACCAAATTCCTACTTCATATTTGTTTTGTCCTTTTTCAATAAAATGATTTTTTGTTTGGAGGATTTCTCTCAAAACGCAATTTTTTTTATCAAGAGAAATTGAGTTGAGGTTGTGTGTGTAAAAGGTTTTGAAGAATTTTTCATTAAAGGATCTTTTGGAAATTAACTGTACAAAACTTCTTTATTTTTTTTATTTTAAAAAAAACATTGTTTTGGTTGAAAAAAATGACTTTTCTTTTTTAGGAAAAGGGAATGTTAGTGAAGATTTAGGACAATACCAAATCAATTACTGTGAAACTATACAAAGATATCTTTATTTTAAAATATCAACAACCTTTTCATCCAAAATTTTCACTTTTCTCAATTATTGATCTTCTATGTCAATTTTTAAAAACATCTTAACTTGACCCACATATGAAAAATAAAACCTAGAAAATTCTACAAGGTTCGAGGTTTGTCACTTTCAAATAAATAGAAATTTTCTCAAAAAGCATATCTTTGTCATCCTTCGTTATCATTTTTTGATAAGAAGTTGACAAATTGAACAAAAGCATGTCATTTTCCCCTACTTAGATCTCACTGACTAAAAATTTATCAGATTTAACAACAATAAAACCATGATCATAGATGTAATGCTTTGAATTTCAATTCCAAACATATTCGTGAAGAGACCAACGCTTATGTTGAAAAATATTTTTTTTAAAAATGTTAAAAAAATCAAAGTAATTTGTATGAGTACCCAATAACAATTAAATAAACTCTGTTTCAGTCAAAGGTGACCAAAGTTTTTTTTAAATATCAATTATTTTATATAATTGACCTTTAAATAAAAAATAAGAAGTAAACAGAATAATACACATCCAAGAATTGTTGATATATGTCTAAAAGAAAACCAATTAATCTATAAATTTTCTTAAAAATTGAAAAACTCAAATTCTTAGGTACTATAGAGAAACAACAACAATGTTTGTTTTGAACTTCTACTTGAATTTGAATAATAAATAGGAAACATTTTTCACTTCATTTTCCATACTTTTCTGTTCGAAATCAAGTCCCCAAACGAAGTGTGTTGGTATTTGTGGTCTCTATTTGAAAAAGGAAATAAAAATGAAGTGAAAAATTTTCACATTTATTAAACAAATATCAAGATCAAAGATCGAATAGAATTCCAATAGAAATCAATATGATTTCTCAACAATGATTTCCACAGTTTCAATAACCTTAGAATAACAAAATTTTACCAAGTGACTATTGATCTTGTAATAAAAAAAATTTTGGCAACTGAATAACGTTTTAAAAAACAAAAAATAAAAATGTGTAAAAATGAGAAAAAATGATTTCAATTTTGAAAATTTCCCATATAAATTTTTTCTTCTAATATCTTTGCAAACCCTTTGAACACATTTATTTCACTCATTAAAACTGGGCCCCTTTGACTGAAAAATAGTTTACAACCAAACTGTGATGTTCGTTCGATCTCGAAAAATAAAAAATCAAAACTCCAACAAATTTTTAGAAAAAAAAAGCCAAAGAAAAAAACTCAATTTCTTATTAGAATAGTTGTCCATTTTAATTTCGAAAACAACTATGTCGGTTTCAAAGTCTTGATCTTAGACACTTTTTGAGATTTGAAAGATTTTGTTTTTTCATTTTTTTTTCATTTCTCAAATGAGTTATTTTTATCTTGAGAATGGTAGAAAATCTTTACTTAGTCAAATTTAGAGAGTTACAAAATACACACAATTTAGACTAAACCGAATTAAATTGATTCTGCACTTTAATAAAACAATTCCTTTCAAAATGAAGAAATTTAACACTTAAGAAATATAAAAGAAGAGACAGATAAATTAAACTAAATTACATAATAAATGACCCAATTTTTTTTTATTTTTTTTTTACTTTTTTTTATTTGTTTTTTTAATTTTCTTTCTTTTTTTTTTTTAAAATTCAATTTGAAAAAAAAAATGTTTGAAACTCAAAATTTACATTAAGAAAAGTTAGGCTTTGTATGTTCTTTTAAAATTCATAGATTTACAAGTAAAAAATTTTGTTGTAAACAATTTTAATTTCCTAAAGAAATTTAGAACTTTTATACGAGACGTAACAATGAAAAGGGCCCAAAAAATTTTTTAACATTTTTTTTTTTTTTTGAAATTTATAGTTTGTTTCAGGTATTTCGTTTGATGAATCGACTCTAATATGAAGTTTATTATTCCTCATATTTCTAAACAATCTTAGTTTGGTTGATTCTGAAAAATAAAGCAACTTTTTCATTTTTGGCTGAGTCCCTTTGAGAAATGAAGTTTATATATATATATATTGTATTTTCTGTTTTAAGATGAAAAAATTACCAATTTAAATAAGAAAAATTAAAAACTACATTAGAATTATTATAATCTTATTAAATAATCTATGTTATGGTGAATGTAAATTCTAAAAAAAATTTTGGATGAATTTTGTTTTTGAGTTTTTTGAGAAAATTCAAAGCAAACACCATTTTAATAAAACATGTATTGTGTGATTTCATTACATCACCTCAAATTTCATCCCATTTAATATACCATAGAAAAATTAACACCACTTTAAATACAAAAATACTAGCAAAAAAAAAGTAAGCCCACTTATTATTTTGTTAAATACTTTCATTTTAATTTTTCCTTGTTATTTTTTTTTCTCTTCTTGGTGTCTACAATACAGTTAATTAAAAAATTGAAAGAACAATTTTCATTTAATTGATAATAATTTACCATATCTCCAAGTTCATCTTCAATATCTTTAATAGTTTTAAAGTCTTTGTATATTTTTTCTGTATATAAATATCTTAAAAAAATCTTTAATGATTGAATCGATTTACCAGTATAATCTGTAATCTGGCAAAGATCTTGAGCATTTTCAACATTTAAAAACATACCTCTAAACAATCCACTTCTTGATTGTAAAATAAATTTATGAACTTTAATTTTATAGTATTCGTCATCATTATCTATTTTTTTTGTTTCATCATCATTTTCTTTTTCATTACCATTATCATTATCATTTCCTTTTTCATTATCATTTTCTTTTTCATTATCATTTTGATCTTCTTCTTTTTCATTTTCGCCCATTACAATTTCAATTTCAATTTCCTTTTCCTTTTCAACCAACCCTTTCCCCTCCCCCTTCTTAACTAAAATACAAAAATCTTTTGATTTTTCATCTTCATATAAGGATTCTAATGCGGCCTTTAAACTATACCTTTTCTTATTAATATCCCTATAATCTATATCAAAGTCTTTGAACATTTGTTTAAAATCCACATCTTTATTCTTCTTGGGATCATGCTCTCCACAATAAACCCATCTGAGAAACAATCTAATATGTTGACTTGGGTATTTGTTTAGAATGTTAGTAATTTCATCTAAAGATTTCTTTAATCTACATTTCAATAAAATGGAATGACATTTTATTCCATTAATTTCAGAATCAGTGAATTCTTTTCTTTTGAAATATAATTGAAAATCATCTTTTAAAGCAGTCCAATTTATCTTAAACATCGCCCCAACAAAGAAATAATCTCGTACATCTCTGATGCTCCTCCCTAATAATTGTAAAGGAGTACATCCAAAAGACTATTAGATTTGTTTAGTTATAATATTAATAAGAAAAATAATATTTAATTTTTTCAGAATAAAAAAACAGAAAAATAATCT